GGGAGGGGGCCCAGGCACCACCTTTGCCCGTCAATCAATATGTAACTCCCTCACCCCGTCCCAGCAACTATATAAATCCTCAGAACAAAGGACTCGCTTCCTTTTTTGGCCACCTGGCTTCTGGTCACCCAGACTCTAGCCACTCTTGCTTTTGCTTTCCCATTAGAACTTAGCACTAATAAACTTTGCTTGCACGCTAGTAGGCTTGCTGATCTGTAATTCTTTGTAGAGTCAGCAAGAAGAACCGAGTTTCTGGGAGTTTCTCCCATAACAATTGTAGAAAACAAAGACACGCAAAAAGGGAGAAATAACCCCAAGTTCCATCAACTACATAAAACCACTGTTAATCATTTTCCAGTGCACATATTTTGTAATAAAATAAGATCATATTATATTTTGTAATGTGCTTTTTAAACTCAATCAGCTATTTATATATTTAAATATTTTTTATGACATTTTAGTAGTTGAGTTGTACTTGTTCACATTAGTAAGTGAGATTTTAACCAATGCCCAGTTGTTGGAAACTTTTCAGCCTCTTTTGTTATTGTTGCAATACTATAGTGAATGCTTTTGTAATGAAACCTACCTTAATTGTATTTTTTAATAAGATACATACAGAAAAGTGGCATTGTGGAGACAGATATTCACATTTTAGGATTTTCTTATTTGAATTGCCAAATATACTTCAAAAATAACAATTGATATTGCAATCAGAAGTATAAGAACTGGGAATAAGAAACCTTTGCATTACTGCATGTAAAAAATGTCTTGGAACAAACAAAAATGAAAATACAACATTCTAAAACTTATGAGATGCAGCAAAAGCAGTTATAAGAGGGGAGTTTGTAGTAATAAATGCCTACATTAAGAAAAGAGGAAGCTCTTTCACAACAACCTAAGTTTGCATGTCAAGGTGCTAGAGAAAAAAAAAACTAAACTGAAAGAAGGAAGGAGATAAAAAGCAGAGCAGAAATAAATGAAATAGAGAGTAGGAAAACAATAGGAAATATCAGGGAAACTAAGAGTTGGTTTTTTGAAAAAATAAACAAAATTGACAGACCTTTAGCTAGACTTACCAAGAAAGAGAGACAGGATTCAAGGAAATAAAATTCTAAGTGAAAGAGGAGACATTACTACTGACATCACAGAGATACTACTGACATCGGAAGAGATTAATTTGAACAATTATATGCCCCAAAATTGGAAAACCAAGAAGATAAGTTTAAATTCTTAGAAATATACAACCTATCAAGACTAAATCATGAAGAAATAGAAATTCTGAACAGATCAATAATAAGCAGATTAAATCAGTAATCAAAAACCTCCCAGCAAAACAAAGCTCAGGACCAGATGCCTTCACGGGTGAATTCTACCAAACATTTCACAAAGAACACCAGACATTCTCAAGCCCTCAAATACTCAAGAGAAAAGAACATTTCTAGAGTCACATTACGAGGCCAGCATTATCCTGATACTAAAGTCAAACAAACAGTACATAGTAGCAGAGGTCAAAGTGCAATTGCTCCATGAGGCAATAGTGTCTTCCAAGCCTCCTCTGCCATCTAGTGAATCCAGTCAGTAAACCAAGAGCGGTCCAATAGCATCCCTTTCTCATTTGGGCCCAAACAATCCTGCTCACTGTCCCAGGTATTTTAATTACATTACTTTGGGTGAGGTATGGTGAAGCCAGATACAGGTCAAGAGAGAAATGAGTTCCACACTTTTGTTATATTCACAGTTCCCTGGGGAAAACATGACACTCCATGTAGTACCACTTAGGGGATGTACTGGGGTTGGTCATAAGGCAGAGGACAAGAGCAGAACTGTGGGCAAGCACCACTCTCTGGTTTCCATAGGAATGCACAAGGCAGCGTAAGCACATTAAGGACTGTTAAGAGATTATGGTTTGGGGCTATCTAAAATCTCCAGATGTTTTTGGGTGAGCCAGGGTTCACTTGAGAACTAACTAGGACATTTTGTAGCTGTTAAAGTACCAATTTGCAGGAATTAAAAGTATGATTATTAAAACATACTGGCTGAAAATACACATAGAGACCAATGTAAGAGTTGAGAGGTCAGAATATACCCAAAGCCTGTGGTGAATGGATTTTTGACAAGAATGACAAGTCCATTCAATGGGGAAGATGAGCTCTTCAAAAGATGGTGCTGAAACAACTGGATTTTCCCATGCGAAAGAATGAAATTGGACCTCTCCCTCATACCATATACAAAAATAAACTCAAAATGGATCAAAAACCTAAATGTAAGAGGTAAAACTGTAAGACTCTTAGAAGAAAACATAGGGGAAAACATTCACAATATTGAATTTAACAGTGTTTTCTTGTCCGTGACATCAAAGTCACAGGCAACAAAATGTGATAAATTAAACCTGATAAAAATTACAAACTTTTGTGCATCACAGGGCAATATCAAGAGAGTAAAAAATACAACCCACAAAATGGGAGCAATATTATATATCATACAGGGTATTAATATCATATCTGTTAAGGTATTAATCAACCATATATCTGATAAAGTATTAATATCCAGAATCTCTAAGGAACTTTCAGAACTCAAAAACAAAAAAACAATAATCCAATTCAAAAAATGGACAAAGGACTTAAATACAGTAGATATTCTAAAGACAAGATATATAGATGGCTGATTAGCACATGAAAAGATGTCTATCAATAATCATTAGGGAAATGCAAATAAAAACCACAATGAGATGCCATTTCACATCTGTTAGGATGGCTATTATCCAAAAGATAGAAAATAACACATGCTGGTGAGGACGTGAAGAAATTGGAACTCTTGTATATTGCTGGCGGGAATGTGAAAAGATGTGACTACTGTGGAAGATTTTTTTTTCAAATAATCAAGCAGAGAATTAGCATAAAATTCAGCAATTACACTTCTGGGCATATATATATATCTAAAAGAACTGAAAGCAGGTATTCAAGTAGACAGGTTTTCCCTTTGTGTCAAGGTCTGACTTTGAACAGATCACAACGAGGGAGCAGCTCTGCTACCTTTAAAACCCGACCAAGAAGCCAGGCGTCTATAAATGGTTTAGTACCAGGTTCCCCACCAACAACCCACATTGCATGATGGGTGAGGGGGCAGCTGCTTGAAATAGACATTTTTTCCACACCATTGTTCACAGCAGAATTATTCATAGTAGTTTACCACTGCTAAACTTAAAGTTTTACACACTAAGTTTTAAACATAGCCAAAACATGAATATTTCATAGCATTATTCACAATGGCCAAAAAGTGGAAATGACCCAAATGACCATCAGCTGATAGGCATATTATAACAAATAAAAGTAATGAAATACTAATTCACACTACAACATAGATGAACCTCAAAAAATTTATGCTACATGAAAGAAACCAGTCACAGAAGGCCACATAATATTTTTTCCTTTAATTTATATGAAATGGTCAGAAAAGACAAATCCATAGAGACAAATAGATTAGCGGTGGTTTAGAACTGAAATGAGGAGCTGAGGGTAATGAAATTGTTCTAAAAATTGTGGTGATGGTTTCACAACTCTGTGACTATAATAAGCACCGAAGGTACATTTTAAATGGGTGCACTGTATGGCATGTGAATTATATCCCAAGAAAACTGTTACCAAACAAAAACTTCCCCTCAAACCCCTGAACCAAAATCAACCCATCTGCGTTTGATGCTTTTTTTGTAGTGTAACATCTTACATAACTTTTTATATCTTGGTTTGCATTAATATTGTATTTCAAGGGTTTTGAGAGGTTTTTTTTTTTTTTTGAGCTCTGAATTTATTTTTTATTCTCTCATTTGTATTGCTTAAAAAGCAGCCCATACTATTTATAACAGCTCCCAAAGTGGAAACAACCCAATGCCCATCAACCGATTAATGGATAAATGTTGATACACCCATACAATGTAATATTATTCAGTTATAAAAAGAGATGAAGTAGCCAGGGCAGTATGGCTCAGTTGGTTGGGCGTCATCTTGCAAACCAAAAAGTTGCTCGTTTGATTCCTGACTGGGCACATGCCTGGGATGCAGGGTCCATCCTGGTTGGGGAGTGTTGATCGATGTTTCTCTCCCTCTCCTCCCTCTCTTCCCCTCCCTCTAAAACCAAAAATAAAAATAAATAAATAACAAAAAGGGATTAAGTGCCAATACATGCTGTAACACTAACGAACCTTTAAAAGATAAGTAAATGAAAGAAGCCAGATACAAAGATCGTATGTTTTAAGATTCCACTTATATGAAACTTGAGGACTAAACAAATCCATAGAGACAAAAGGTAGATTAGTAGTTGTTTTGGGCTGAGGAGTGAGGTAGAGGATTATAGACAAGAGGATGCTGGGTTTCTTTTTGTGATAATGAAAATGTACCAAAATTGATTCCGGGGATGGATGCACAACTCTGTGAATATACTAGAAGGCACTAAATGATACATTTCAAATGGGTTAATTGTATGCTCTGAGAAGTATCTCAAAACTAAACGAAGAACTGACTGAATTAAAGGGATAGACCATTTTATGGACTGGCAGGTTTATCTTTGTAAATATGCACACATCCTGGCATACTGTTGAAGAAACAAGGGGAAAGGCCTATAGATGAGCATTTAATGAGCTTTCAGCGCTCTTAGATCTGACTCTGCTCAGAACCACGCCCTCCTGGGAACAGGCCACGACGTAAACAAATTACTCCGCGTCTGTCCGCTTCTAAACGGTCCTCTGCGCTCCGCTCTGTCTTCGCCGGACACTGCCTTCTAGAACTGGTCAGTATGGAGGGACCGGTCGATGTGGCGAGCCTGCTCTTGACTGAGGGCCTACCATTGCCCCTCGCATCTAAAAAAACCCGACACCATCCAAGTACTGTAGGTTTCTATCCCGACCTTACGTCTTCCGATCCCGGAGCTCCTCAGGGACCGCCCCTTACGCTAATCGCTCTGCGAACCCGGAAGCGGAAGTGCTGGCGGGCTGACGTCTCACTTCGCGCTTCTCCGGGTATCTGAGACAGGTTTTCTTGTCTGTCGGCTTCAGGGCCTCTGTGCTTGGACTCAGCCATTTCCGCTGCCCCGGAGTCGCGGAGCCTCCTCCCCACCAAGTACCCCGGGCCCGAGGATTCCCGTGGCCGTCACGATTCCTCTGAGATCTATGCCCGCTCCACCCGCGCGGGTCGGGGCCGTGGGTCAGAGTCTTGCGTGGAGGCAGGGATTTTTCTCCACCCGCCGTGCGTCTCTCTTCAAAAGCTGCCAAATCAACCTTTGTGCGTTTTCTCCAGAGGGAAAGGCATTTACGCTGTCCTGGGAAATGGCCCCAGCGTCCCCTTCTCCTGACCGACCTGGCGATTGCAGTGCGTTCCGGTGAGCACTGGCCAGCAATGCCTGGACTGTGGGCATCCATTATTGAAGTTTGATGAATTACTTAGGTGTTACCTGGTCGTCCACTGATAATATTTTGCATATCTCTCTTGTCTCTCTCCATGTGTGTTTATAAATTCTTTAAGAGTAAGGAGTTGAAATAAGTTGCAGCAATGATATTTGACCTTTGATAACTGGTGAATTGCCTCATCTCTAACAAGAGTTATGTAATAACTCCTACAAAATTAATACCCAAAATGAAAACGCAAAAGAAAAATGAGCAAGTGGTTTAGATAGGCTCTTCCATGAAGATAATATGTACTTGGACAACAAATATGTGAACAGATACTTGATATCATAAACAACCAGGGAAACACAAATTAAAATCACAGTGTGGCCTTGACTGGTGTTGGTGTGGCTCGGTGGATTGGGCGTCAAACAGAAAGGTCGGTTAATTGCCAGTCACGGAATATGCCTGGGTTGCGGGCTAGGTCCCTAGTTGGGGGTCTGCGAGAAGCAACCAGTGGGTGTTTCTCTTCTTCTCTTTCTCTCTCCCTTCCCCTTTCTCTAAAAATAAATAAATAAATAAAATCTTTAAAAACAACCCCACAGTGTGATAAATACTACACACCGAATGGCTAAAAGTAACACTTGAAAGAGGGACATATGCATACCCTGTTAGTGGAAACACATTTAAAGAGTATCAACTAAATATAATCTGTTGGTAACAAACAAGGCATGCACATGTGCACCAGTTAAACATAAAGCCTATTTATAGCATCATGATTTGGAATACCCTAAAGTGGAAATAACTCAAGAGTGTACCAAGAAGTCCTGGCGAGTGCTCAGTTGGTAGGAGCTTCGTCCAGATGCGCCAAAGTTGCAGTGCAATCCCGCTCAGGGCACATAGAGAAACCAACCAGTGAACGCGTGAGCGGGTGGAGCAACAAATCAGTCTCTTGCTCGCTCTCTCTTTAAAATCAGGAAATAAAAATTTTAAAAAAAGAAAGTGAATCAAGGGAATGGATGAATTGTGGCATACATTTGGTGTGGTATAAACTTCAGCAAAGAGAAGGACCAAACCACAGATATGATAGATGAAATGACATGGATGAACCTCACAAATATGTTGAATGAAAGAAACCAGACACAAAAAATGCATGCTGTTTGATGCTGTTTCTTTAACATTCAAAAACAGGCAGAATAGCCTAGTGTGTTAAGTGTCAGGATAGTGGTTGTGATTGGGAGGCAGAGAGTTAGTGATTTGGAAAAAAGACAAGGAGTATGTCTGAGATGCTGGATATGGATATGTTCTATTTCTTGACCTGAATGCTGCTTACCTGGGCCTGATCATTTCTTGAGAGTTTACTGAGATTTTTATTCATGATTGCCTCCCTTAATTGTATGTATGCTGTAATTTGGTAAAAGAATTACAAAAAATGGAACTAAACGTACTACCTTATAAGGCTGAGTGAGAAATACACAAGTAGAATAAAATGTACTGAAAGAATGAGCAAAAATAAAATCAATACTTAATGGGAAAAAGATCTGATCAGTAATGTGAAAGGATGACAAATATATAATAGTTTTTGTAGTTAACTGTGAGATAATGTAGAAGACTTTAATTTCAACATAAAAGAAAAACAGTGCCGTGATTCAGACCATGTTGGAGTGGCTAACATTAGAAATGCATTTTGAGTTTTTTCTAAAATCCTGATATTCAAGTTTGGCTGTCTTTCAGTCAAAGTTGGAACACTAATTTTGTAAGTGAGATATCAATTACCAGTATTCTGAAATTCTGTGTTTATCTCACCCCTAACTAGTCTTGTCTCTGTATCAAGATTATGTTTTTGAATGTGTGGTACTCCTTGTACTTTAATGGGATTGATTCTTTCTTCAACTATACTGCTTATCACCAACTGCAATCAATTATTTGTTCATTACCTGCATTGCTAAGTTGAACTGTGAGGCTCTTGTTTCCTCCTCTGTGCCTAGTGCCCAGCCTGGCATAAGGAAGGCCCTTACTAAGTATTTGCTGAATGAGTGAAGAAATAAGAGGCTGAGAGAGGCAGAGGTTCCAAGTCCAATCAAATCTCCAGCGGTGGGTACTCAGGGAGACTTTTGATTTTGTAAAGCCTTTTGTACTTCTCTTCATGATGCCTTGCAGAAGGTCTGGAGTGAATTCTGGTCACATCAGGAATTACAACCACAGGAGACCCAGTGCTCAACACACTGACATGTGTCTACTCCTGGCTCACATTTCCTAACTGGTGATTTTGGGTCAATTACTTATATGTGAACCTCAGCTTTCTCATTTATTAAATGGCAGTATTAATGCCCAAATTGGAGGGTTGTTCAGGCAACTAATAGAATTTATATATGTAGAACTACTTAACAGGCATTCAGTAAATGGCAGTTGTTATTAATGCTTGCATAGTAAAGTATTAGTTTTTAATTTTTTTATATATTGAGTTTTAGAGAGGAGGAGGAGAGAGAGAAACATCAGTTTGTTGTTCCACTTATTTATGTATTCATTGGTTGATTCTTGTATGTGCCCTGACCAGGGATCAAACCTGCAACCTTGCCATATTGAGAGGACGCTCTAATCAACTAAGCTACCCGTCCAGGGCAGTATTAGTTTTTAATGACTGTCACATGTTTCATCTACAGAGAGATGGCTAAAAAGGGATGTATGACATTTGAAAAATGTCTGTTGCTTGATGATTGACATTACAAACCAGTTATCCAGACATTGTAGTATGTGAAGAGAAATTGATGTCAACCTTAAATTCAAAAGCTTCTGCTGCTCAAGAGGTGGAATGTTCTGGGAAACCTCACAGTCACATTCCCAGTGTGCCAGCCATTGATCTGACTTGTGAGCGGTGAGTCCTTTCTGATGCTCTCAAACTGTCTCCTTATAGAGTTTCCTCACAAACGGCACATCCACTGCTCAGGGGCTGAGCGATCATGCAGTGGACCATGTAAGCAGGATGGAAATGGCCAGAGTGTGTATTATAAGTCAGGTTCCTGGAATTTGGGATGCAAGAAGGTGAGTGTGAGCTTTTTGGGGGAAAAATGTTTATGAATCTTACCATGTCGGTCAAACAGCTCTGCCCCTCGGTACTTTAATGTGTGTACTCTAATATAGAATTTTTAACCAGTTCTTCATGGGTAGCAAGATACTGAAAACCATTTTCTTGCTCCAGGTAACTCAAGGCGCTTTGTCATATTATAGAAGTAGTATGTGGTGTGTTATGTGCATGACATGGAACAGCCTAGAGGTATGTGATTGTTGGAATTGGACTGGACTCAAAGTCCGTGTCATTCTTCTCTCTGAGGTCATCTTTCTTGGGATTCTTCCCGTCTCTATGAGAGAATATTGAGGCAAGGATGGTAGCTGGGTTACTGATGGATTCTTCTCAGGTGAGTAGAAAGTTGACCTTTCTTCAAAATGTCATGCTTGTTTCTATCATGTAGCCCTGACCAAAAGCTGCTTAAAGCAGTCATGACCTTGCTTAAAGAATGGCTCTTGGTAAATTTCTCCAGGACCCCTGCTATCTCAGGCCATACACACTGGAAATGATTCTTTAATCTCAAAAAATTTAGTGATTCTTTCCGATTTTCAGTCATGCTTATTGTTTTAACCAGTATTATGACAGAACCTTTAGGAAGGAAATGAAGATACCTAATCTTTTGAAATTTGTGTCACTGTGGCAATTCTTTTGTTATTAGACTTTACAAAGTGCTAACAGCAGCCTATGAGTAGAGAAGGAATAAAGCACAAAGAGCCCATGGTAAGGTTGTGGTAAGATAAGTTCAGGCCATGCAAGTGATACTGATAAATCCATGTGACTGGATGTAATCACCAGGCAGTATCTAAAGCTAGAGAGAAGAGGCCTGGGCCTGGGAATACTATAGGCTTCTGGTCTACTTTCCTTAGTCCCGCATGAATCTTTCTGAGAACATCAACAAAGATGGTACTCAGCTAAAGCCAGCATGTGTTTGATGGTTTAGCACTTAGTGACCTTTGAGGATGTGGCTGTGGACTTCACCCATGAGGAGTGGACTTTATTGGACCAAATGCAGAGAGATCTCTACAGAGACGTGATGTTGGAGAACTATAAGAATATCGTTGCTCTAGGTACGGCTGGCATTGTTCCTTTACTGAGTCCTTTATGAAATGAAAATTTCTTAAGTACTTTTGCTGTCAAATGGGTGATGATCAAGACAGACGTAGTCTCTGGCTTCATGGGCTTTTACTGTCTAGAGGATTCTCCATGAAAATGAAGGTCTATATAAATAAATGACTTTATTTCCTTTAGGGGCTAAGAACCTTAAGACTTTAAACATGTATGAGGTTGGACATGGTGTTCAGGTCTTAGGGATGTACAGGCATTTGAGGGTAGAGAGAGAGAATGTGCTTGGATTTCTGTTCCTTTTAAAATAGTTTTATTGGATTTATTCAAAACTTTCCCTGATTATTTTGCTGTTTGTAAAGTGAGACCTTGCTGTCTTGAGAAACCCTGAAGGCTAAGGGGTTGGTTCTTAATCCAAGGACATGTTTTTCATGTCTTGCAAGAGCCTCTATGTATTTTTCCCTTAAGCAGGGTATGAACCATGCAAACCCAGTGTCAACTCTGGATTGGAAGGAGGGGAAGAACTGAGGACAGGAACTAGAGTTCTTCAGGGTGAGTTCACAAGCAGACAGTTTTGTAAAGAGCAGTGCTAGCATGGGAAAGGTCCAGTACCTTTGCAAATGCCACTTTGCAAGCTTTTAAAGCTGTGCTCTTTTTCTAGGAAAGCTGAGGCCATTTGGTTTTTGAGTTTTCTCAGGAACCTGCAACTTCCATTTACCCCTAATTTCCATTGATCTCAATCTTTTTGGTTCTCTCAGAAAGATCTGTTTGCTTACTTGAAAATTTCTTTTCTCTCAGGTAGCTCTTTTCCCCAGTACCTTCCTACCTTGCCGTCCTGATTCTGTCATCTTTTTTTGTTTACTGAAAGCCTGAGTTTTGCCTTAAGCTTTGTAAATTGCCTACAGTTTTGACAGCATATCCTTATCATTGCCAAACTCCTAACACAGCCAACTCTTTGTGGTCTGTCTTTCTTTTTGTTTCACCATTTTTATTATGTTTCATTCATATTTAGAAATACACATGTGCCGTATGCTTTATTTCAAGGTACAACATGCACACATTAACCATTCTAGTGAGTATAATTCATTGATATTGAGTTCATTCACAGTGCTAGGCCGCCGTGAGCTCTTTTTAGTTTTAAGATATTTTAATCACCTCAAAATGAAGCCATCTACTCATTAAACAGTCATCCCCATTTGCCCCTCCCACCAGCCCCGGTGAGCACTCATCTGCCTTCTCTCTCTATGGATTTACCTATTCTCTCTGTATCTTGTAAATGGAATTGTACAACATGTGAACTTTTGTGTCTGGCTTCTTACACTTAGCACAATGTTTTCAAGGTTCATCCACATTGTGGTATGTTTCCACACTTCATTCCTTTTTATGGCTGAATAATGCTCAGTTTTGTGACTACATCACATTTTGTTTGTCCAGTTAACCTTTGATGGACTCCCCCCACCCCAGCCCCCACCTTTGGCAATTGTGCTAGGAACATTTGTGTACAAATATTTGAATATGTGTTTTCCACTCTTTTGGGTGCATAACCAGGAATGGAATTACTGGGTCATATGGTCATTTTATGTATAACTTGTTGAGGATCACCGAACTATTTTACAGAGAGGCTGTATCATGTTACACTCCCACCAGCAATTTAGTGACTTTTATCCATTATATTTTGTATTTTCAACATTTTTTTTTTAGCGAGGTCCCTGAAATATGTGTTCTGTTAGCTTAGTCATCACCTTAGAACGACAGAAATTCCTTAAATGCCTTGAGTCAAAAAAACTAAAAATTCTCTTTAAATTTTTGTTGATTGGCTGTGGGCTGGGCCACTTCTTCGGTGCTTAGCCAGGCCCCTTGGAACTCTTCCTTAGCCTTCCTTTCCTGCTTGAGTGGAACCTTAAGGTCATTTGGAGGTGGAAGCATTTGGTCCTCTCTGGATTTTTGGAACAAGCACCCAGCCTTGGGCATGCTTGCGGACTTCTTGATTCCCTTGGAAACGATCAAGTTTTTGAAAGCCCTCATTCACCCACATATAACATCCCCAACTTGTTTCTTCTGAGGCTTGTCCCAACTCTTTACCATTTCCTTATGCTCTTGTGGCCAACACTTCACCAGTACCTGTGTACACTTTGAGCAGGAGCTGCCTGGAATGCGTCCTCATTCCTGGGAACTCTGTGAGTTAGTGGAAGTAAAGGGAAGCCCTTGCCCTGATCTCCGAGGTAGACGGCGTACCCTTATCATTGCCACACTCCTAGCACTTCCTAACAAGGACGCTGCCCAAGAGATCAAAACACACAGTGGCAGTTCTTGGAGAACAAGGCCCGAGTTGCTCCTTTGGGCGCCAGCAACTTGCTGACGGAGTGCGTCCTGCCATCTGTGTGGCTACTGCTTACCTGGAGAGTGTGGATGGCAGGCGGGCAGTTCCCCTGCCAAAGCTCTCTCTTGGTGAAATACAGCTGCTTCCTTCTTTCCTAAGTGTCCTTGACTGTTGTACTTTTGGACTAGATTCCGAATTCTGCAAGCGTTGGTTCTGATTGTCTTTGTAAACTTGTCTTCTGGTGGGAAGGAGCCCTGGGGTTCCCCGTGTACCGTTCTTTGTGATGTCATTTTCGCTGCCATATGTTGTTAAACAACTTGATCCCACAATTTTTCTCCATCCTTGAGCTTTTCTACTTTCTTTTAGCATTGGATTTACAACTCAAAACCAAAGTTTCCATGTCTCTTCAAGATATTTCTGTGGACAAAACATCAAATGGAATAGAACTGGTAAGATCTCCGAGAAGTAATTTTTGTCTTCCACACCAGGACCAAAAGTACAAAATCCTTGAGGATTAGATGAGATAAATGCTTTTTATGCAGAGAAAGCAGAGTCTGTGAAAAGAACCTCTGAATATCAGAATTTGAGAATCATTCTGAACTTACCTCAAATCTGTTTATCCACAGAGATCTCACAAATAAACACCCATATATATGTAACTCTGTTGTCCAGCGTTTGAAACACAGTTTAAGTAATTATCAGAAAAACTCTCTAAGGTGCTCTGTGAAAGTAGAGAATATACCACAGGGTCCTGGCCTCAACTTAAAATAACTGAAAAACAGGGCAGAAATTCTGTATACTTAATGGAAATAGGGAAAAAATTAATTACGATAATGTTTCCAGTGCATAAAAGTTGAGATGGGGGGACTTCCTGTTATTATAATGAATGTGGACATGTCTTTAATGATCATTTATATGTTAACAGGAGAGAAGTGGGGCTGCAGTGAACCAGTGTGGTTCTAGCCTTTGTGGAAAAGTATTCAGCGAACACCTGTTCCCTGTGACTCACCTTAGACACAAAACTTCTAACGGTAGGCAGAGTGGAAAAGTCTTCAAAAAGAACTTCATTCAGACCTTCAAGGAAATCCACATTGGGGAGAAAACTTCTGAGTGTGTTCAACATGAAAAAGCCTCCGGTCAGCTTTCACATCTTACTGGGCACAAAAAAACTCAGACACGAGGGAAATTGTGTGACTGCAGAGATTGTCAGAGAACATCATTGTTTAATGCACATATGAGACACCACACTGGAGAAAAAACATATGAATGTAAAGAATGTGGGAAAACCTTCACCCATTCCTCATACCTTACAGATCATATAAAAATGCACAGTGGAAAAAGGTCCTATGTGTGCATGGAATGTGGGAAAGCCTTTACTCGATCCACAGGACTCATTTTACACATACGGATTCACAGTGGAGAAAAGCTGTATGAGTGTAAGGAATGTGGAAAAGCCTTTATTCATTCCTCATACCTTACAAAGCATGGAAGAATTCACAGTGGGGAGAAGCCATATCTATGTAAGGACTGTGGGAAAAGTTTTACCCGTTCCTCTGGACTCGTCTTACACATGCGGACACACACTGGAGAAAAACCCTACGTGTGTAAGCAGTGTGGGAAAGCCTTTAACAATTCTTCAATGCTTAACCAGCACGTGAGGACACACACTGGAGAGAAGCCATACGGATGCAAGCAATGTGGGAAAGCCTTCACTCAGTCATCCGGCCTTACCACCCATGTCAGAACTCACACTGGAGAGAAGGCCTACAAATGTAAAGAATGTGGGAAAGCATTTGCTCGTTCCACAAATCTTAATATGCACATGCGAACACACACTGGAGAAAAGCCTTACGGATGTAAAGAATGCGGGAAAGCCTTTAGATATGCCACATGCCTTAATATTCACATGCGAACTCACACTGGAGAGAAACCATACGCATGTAAGGAATGTGGGAAGACCTTCACTCAATCTTCAGCACTCACTAAACACCAAAGAACTAAGGCATGTGAAAAAACCTGAAATGTCCCTCAGACCTTAGCATTTATTCACATCTATAACTCATCTGGACAAAGACCTTATGAAAGCAGCTCTTTCCTTCAGTGAGGCGGCTGAGCAGCCTCCCCAGCAGACTCAGAGAAACAGAGCTTTGTGAAGACTCTGATTGGCAAGGCCATCCCCTTCGAGGTCAAGCCCAGTGACACCACTGAGAATGTCAAAGCTAAAATCCAAGACAGGGAGGGCATCCTGCCTGACCAGCTGCGTCTGACTTTTTCCGGGCAGACAGGTGAGGGGATGGCCACACTCCCTCAAAACACAGTGTCCAGGGAGAGTCCACCCTGCGTTTGGTGCTTCCTCTGCAGGGTGGCATCATGGACCCCTCCCTCTGCCAGCTCACTCAGAAGTACAACTGCGACAAGATGATCTGCCCCATGTGTCACACCCATGTGCACCCCTGTGTTGTCAGCTGCCTCAAGAAGAAGTGCGGCCAAATCAACAACCTGCACCCCAGGAAGAAGGTCAAGTAAGGCCCCTCCATCACCTTCTCAGCCCGCAGGGCAGCGTCCTGCCTGAACCCTGGCCCTGGGGCCTCTATAAAGTTTCCCTTTCATTGGAAAAAACAAAGACTTTATGAAAGTAAAGAATATTAAAAAGCTTTAGTCAGTTTTCATCCTTACATGATATGGGAGGACTTACTCAGGGAAGCATTTCCATTCATATAAGGTATATGGGAGAGCAGTAATTGTTCATACCTTACAGAATATGTAAGAACTCACACTTGCGAGAAAAACCTTCTGGATATAAGGCATGTGGGAAATCCTTTTTGGTTAATTTTTGTTCTAACATTAATTTTACATATCTAAAATTACTATAAAGCCGTGTGAAGGTAAGGCTAACATAAAGCCTTAAACTGTTTCACATGCTCTAATAGCACGGACAACTCACGTCAGAGAAATCTGTGTGTAATGAATGTGGTATAAAACCTTTACCTAGTGTTGAGGACGTAAGGTCCACGTGAGACTTCAGATGGGCATAAACCTTGTAAATGTAAAAGGTACAAGGAGACCCACATGTGCTTCTCATACCTTTTAAGAACTCAACGTTTAAAAATTCAGTGGAGAAAGCTTTCAGAAATTCTTGAAAGCTTCAATGTGCAAGAAGTCTCATTAATGTAAGAAAAATTGTTCAGTGTTAACAAATAAGTCATAATGTGGAATGGAGGGAAGCCTCTTGAAGGTAATATATGTGGGAAACATGTCTTCCTGCCTCATGTTAATATTTTTTGGTAATCTCACAGAGGCAGAAAATGTAACAAATGTTAAGATACAGGAATGCCTGTGTTTGTGTGAATGTAGTTTTTGGCTTTCAACCTTTAGTGGAATGATTCAAACTGGAGAGAAACTGTGACTGTAGGCTACATGGGAACTGGTGTATCCATTTTATAAATCTTACACTACACATTAAAACACACCCTGGAAAGAAACTATATGAATATAAAAGCATGGGAATGTTTTTTGGTAAATACATATCCCTTAAGAGACTTGTAAAGTCCTCCCTGGAGGGATAAGCTGTGAATGTGAGAAATTTTGGGAAGCTTTTAGGTACTGTTCTTACTATGCACAAGAGAATTCTTCCTGGAAGAGAAATTGAAATAAATGACATGAAAATGAAATTGTCTTTCCATGTGTCTTAATCTCCAGGAAGCACCCAAAAGGAGGGGGATGGGGTTCTAGGCTCTAAATTGGCTGGTTTCCATGTTAAAGGGCTACTCTGGGGTGACTTCAGCTATCTCTAGGATTGCTTAACCCTGGGAGAGGCAGTCCCTCCAGAGTTAGCAAGGCCACCAATTTGTCAAAGCATCAGAATACAGAAAACTAAAGACGGGGTTATCTAATACACGTATTTACAGTTGCCAGAAATCAGGACATGGATATCTTTTGGAGACCACTATGCTGCCTACCACACATCCTTCAAGGGTTTTTCTTTCTTTTTCTTTTTAATATTTTACTACTCTCATTTCCAACCTTTACCATTTTCATTAATTTGATTGTGAACATTTTACAGGATTTAAAAGTCCAATCTGAAACATCAGCTACAGATTTTTTAAAAAAAGTTAGATATGATTTTTATTGAACATGTATAAGATTCACCTTTACATTATACATCAGCTACATGTTAAATGATTCTATTACAAATGTTCTGATTACAAATGCAGTGTTTTTATTTCTGCTACCTTATTTTCATGCTGCTGTTCTGAGTTTTCCCATATTTAAAAGTTGTAATTACAGCATACATATAGAAAATAGTCTGAAAGTGCATATGTACTGATGATAACAGAATCGCAAGCCCCCAGGAACCCACGTTCCAGACCAAGAAATGGAAGATGACCTTACCCATGAGCATGTCCCCCTTATTGCATCACATGCTTCCATCCAAGAGGAAACCGTGGTGTTTGAACTTCACATTAACCATTATATCACTCATAGTTTTAATTTTCTATATATTATGATTTTTTTTTTACCTCTTTGGGATTATTTGCTATTTTAATGTGTAGTTAGGAGGAGGCGAGCACAGCATTTATCCATTCTGCCATCTTGACTAGAATTCTGTGTGAAGTGGTATTTGGGAATTCCAAACTAAAGAGGTTGAATGTGAGAATTCAGGTGTTCTGGGTGCTAATGCCTTCCTTTCTAGATCTTTTTACTAAGAACCTTTTCTGCCTTCCTGAGGAAAAGATGGATGAAAAAAGCATGGTGACTAGTAGTTCTCAGGTCAGAAGAAAGCGTATTCTTCCACAAAATTATATACTGCATCCACCAGAGAGACACATTTCTCTCTAGATAGACCTGTGTCCAGAGCTCTTAAAGAAATACAGCCACTCACGGATGAGTCTCTGGTGGATTGCCTCCCAAGGTGAAATCTCTCATAATGTGAGAAAATATCGTGAAGAATTTCAGTAGTAGAATACTTAGTACATAATATAGCCTCTCTGGATGGTGACTGCATAATTTTAATTTTTCTGGGTGTGCTGACATGGTAAGGAAGATGACAGTGTGAATTTGTCAAAGAATTTACTCATTCCTCAGCATTTACAAGTGTCTTCAATTTTCTTAGGATTGTGCTGCAAGAGGGACATACACAAGAAGAGCTGGTAGGTTTGTTGTATTGAGATAAGTCCATGTGCTATAGGCCTAGCTGGTGTGGCTCAGTGGCTTGAGCGCCGGCCTGCGTACCAAAGTCCATGTGCTAAGGAGAATCAAGATGGCAGAGGAGTGAGTGGAAGTCACACTGGCCTCCTCCCAGGACCAATCTGGAATGACAACTAAATTGTGGAGAAATCACCAGGAACAAACGACGGAACAACAGTGAGAGAGGAGGCTTATAACCTCAGACAGACAGAAGAATCAGCTTTAGCGCAATCTAACTGAAAGGAGTGCGGTTGAGACTCAAGAAGGTGGGCGGGGCTCCCACAGGTGGCTGCACCAGAAAGATATTGAAAGGGGCAGTTGAATCCCCCTGAGAAGAGTGGGGCCTAAACCGTAAGTGGAGATCTCCAGCCTACAGCACCAGAGCCAAAAAAGTACACAGAAAACAGCCAGCTGCAAAAAGCAGCAGGGTTGCTCTCTGCCAGAGACAGACAGCTGGAGACACAAAGAGCCGTTTAAAGGGCCAACGTATAAATTTTTATTTGCAGCTACTTACCCTGGTCTCTGGCAAAGGTGGGGGCAGAGTGCGCTGGAGATGCCTGAGGAGAGATGGGGGACGGAGGCTTTGAGGAGAGAACAGAGAATAGCCATCAGCATCTCAGTGCTGACTCATCCTACATATGTCAGCAGCCAACTTGCTCAGGCAGAGACCACTCCCCCTGAGTGGCAGCAGCGTCAGAGGACTCAATAGCCCCGCCCCCAGGAGGGACTACTCCCCGCCCCGAGCTGTCTAAGTTGGCCTGCTGAGTGCAGAGTGACTAGATTAACAGTTGAAGAAGAGAGCCACAGACAGTAGATTCCTGGAAGTTCGAACAGACTGCCTAAGGTCAGAGAGGGACAACATCTGACATTGTCAGGGGCAGATCCAGAAAGTGAAAACAGCAGTCTCCTATCATAGAAGTCCACACCACATAGTCAGGAAATCAACACAGATGAATTTAAGAGGGAGAAGCAAGAAGAGTCTCACAAATAATGGGAAGACAAAGAAATACCCGCCAGTCGAAGGGAAAGGAGGAATCCCCACAAAGAGAAATAAAGGAAATAGAGGCAAGTAAACTATTAGATATTGAGTTCAAAACAATGGTTCTAAGGAAGCTCAGTGAGCTCTGAAAGAATTACAAAAAACTACAGGGAAACTATGAGGAACATATTGTGAACTATATCAGCATGGAAAATGACATAGAAACTATCGATTAGAGGCATGAGGAAATGTCGAATGCAATTTCTGAATTGAAGAACACAGTAGAAGGAGTCAAAATCAGGCTAGATGAAGCCGAGGATCGAATCAGAGAGCTGGTACATCTCTTTTTGTATTTACTTTATTTCCCATTTCAATAAAAACCTTCATGCTTTATAAACCAGTATGTATTTCTGAACATGGGCTCAGAGACCAAAAATAAATCATCTTTTTGTGGCATAAAAAGAAGTGATATTTCTATTTTTATCTCTTTTGATATAATTTTACTACATTGATTAGAGATACAGGACCTGATTCATGGGAGGGTTTGTCATCTTCTGCAGGAGCTCTGTTAATGTATCTTGCCTCTTGAGACCTCCTGTGTGCACATGGCGCTGGTTACTCCATTGGCTACTGCCAACCGCAGGAGTAAGCACTCTGCTTTTCTTCAGAAAGGACCTCTTTGCCTTCACGACACTGTGAACACAAAGTGATTCTTAAAGTCTCAGTTTCTTCAAGGCAAGAGCATCATAGAAAGTTGGTGTCTGGGTGGTTCCTGAAAAATAAACATTCCTTAGGGGAAACCTGTTATTTTTAAGTTTGACCCAAGAAAGAAGTTTTCCTCCTTGGAGAAAATACCTTCTTCCTCCACTGCTGCCTAAGAGACATATTGGCTGAAAATTTTCCATTCTGTTATCTTTGTGCCCCGAGGGAGCCTGCATTGTTTGCAGAAAGTAGAGTCAATAGAATGATCTATTTAATATGGAGCTCTGAGAATTCAACCCTTGGGATGATGATAGCGTGTCCCTATTGCCCATTTCCTATGATTCTTTGATCCCAGCCTATGGGAAAACCCAAATGGTGTCGGGGACATGCCTCAGAGAACAGAGCACTTCACTGGCAAGAGTTACAGAGGGTCACTGTGTCCTGTTAGGGCTGGCAGAGTAGGAAGAGAAGAAAGAGTGGGTACTGGACTTTTGTTCTAGAATAATGAGACTGTGAAAGTCTGTGGGGATAGAGTCCCTATAGCTTTAAGGTACTTTAGTTTCTCCTGAAACCAGTCTTTTCCAGCTCTTATTCTGTTTCCTTCTCTCTGTGTTTTTGGAATCTAGAGCCTCTGTCCACTAAGAGTTATTTCCCAGAGAGTCTCCAACTCTTTCTCGTAAGTGTACACTCTTCTCGGATATTCTGTGTCTATTTATTTGTTAGCTACTCACTGGAGAGCTACTATGCATGAGGTATTGTGTTTTTTTCTCGTGTGATTAGATTTTTCTATTATATTCCTAACACTTTTGCAGCAGAGTGGACTTACTCATAGCACTTAGTAGTTTCTATTGTTGTTTTTCAGTGTCCCCAATGTTATCTACAAATAATGTACTTGTTTCTGAGGTTCAGTAATCAGACTAATTTCCCTTTTTCATCTTATGAATTTCTATAAACACCTATAAAAAATATTATTTATTTATTTTTGGTGAGAGGGGAAGGGAGGAGAAAATGAGGGAGAGAAACATTGATGTGCAAAGGACATATCTCTCAGTTGCTCTTTTATGCCCCCAAATGGGGACCTGGCCTGAAACCCAGGCATGTGCCCCGACCAGTAACTGAACTGGTGACCTTTCAGTTTGCAGGTCGGAGCTCAATCCAGTGAACCACACCGGCCAGGGCATGTAACCAATTACTTTAAGTATTCAAGAAACCATTGACATTGGACTGATTGATGTTGGAGATTACTGATCAGGAGTGATTGATGCTGGAGCAGACTGTTGCTGCCTTGGCCTGTTCCTGAATTTAACTCATATCACATATTTTAGTGTTTTAGTGTAGAATATACTGTTGGCTGCACTGTTGAAACATCTGTTCTTTACTGGGTTAAGAAATTGTCCTTAGTTTCCTCATTTAGTGAGAGGCTCTGTCCCGGCTGCTAAACACAGTAATGGCTGTTATGTTTTGTCAGACACACTTTCTATTATGATTACGGTTATGATTCCTCTTTATTGACCTATTTTTTTTGGTGAGCTATATTTGCAAATATTTTAGTACTGAACCAGGTTTTCATACCTACAATAGGTCCTACTTGTTCATGATACATTATTCTATTAAAATAGATATGGATGCATTTTATTTAACTTTACTATTCTATTTTGTGTCTCTATGCAGGCATATGATGCCCTTGAAGATTGCTTTTTTTCTGTTATAGTTGATGCTTTTGGTATCGATCTGTATTGTACATCTAATATCTGTGTGTGTTGAGCACCTACTATATGCCAGGCACCGTGCAATTCTTTGGAAGGCAAGGGCGAGCAAAACAGTCATGGCTTCTGATCCAGGAATAAACATAAAATTACCAGCACGTCAGGCACTTCAAGGAATTCTTCAGGGTGCTTGACAGACGGGCCTCATGCCCTCTGTGCTCCCGACTGCCACCCTCTGTGCTCCCTCGCAGTGGCCTCTCCAATCCCTTCCCCTCCTAACCTTTCAGGCAAACGCGAATTCTGTTTTCTCAGCCCCAAAGCTGGCCCTTTCCCCCGTTTGTCTAATTAACAGTTACAGTTAAATGTTCATATGTCAGAGAAGCCTTTTCCACCCACCTCCCCAGACTAAATGGGTCCTCAATGGTTTTATTCCCCCTGAAATTAACTGCATCTCTAGGCATTAATAATGCCAATCTTTTTTCTGTCAGAGAGAATGTAAACATTTATTTTTATCTTAAATGTGCCTCTTAATCTTTTAGGGATGATTTGATTTATAAAAACTTTGAATATTGTTCATCAGACTTATCAATACCTTTTCTTTTTTTAACAGTTAACTGCTGATTAAAAAAGTTTTTCATCCTCACCTGAGAATATATTTATTGATTTTAGAGAGAGAGGAGGGGATAGAGGGAGACAGAGAGAAATGTCAATGTGAGAGAAACACTGGACAAAACACTGATTGGTTCACTTCTGTATGCGCCCTGACCAGGAACTGAACCTGGGACCTTTTGGTGTATGGGATGACGCTCCAACCAACTGATCCACCCGGCCAGGGCTAACTGCCGCTTTTTAATGCAACATGCCTTTACTGAAGAGCACGTACACATGAACATATGCTCTCACACTCGCTTTGTATTTTATTTGAGTGGTTTTGCGATTTTGTTTACCCCTCTTACCTGTGCAGTCCACATGCTTTTCCCCTCTCCTCGGGAGAGGGCACCTGGCAGGCAGTATCTGAAAGAGGAGCCAGAAGGATTTTCACTAATCAGAGGTGCTGCATGGTGATCAAAAGAGGTAACATATGTGTTGTGTTCACAATGATCAGAATTCCATCTTCGATGTGTGGCCCAGTTTGTGGGGGAGTATTAATCAATGATGGCCACGCCAGACAGATTTTTGGTGATGCTGAGAAGAGGAGATCATACTTCTCAGGTGCCACTGCATGTCCCAGGAACTATACTAGGAAATCACATGCGTCGTCTCATTTAAATCACTCGTTAGTGTTAAAATGCAGAAAATATCTATGACTCCCATGACAGAGGGGAGGTATCTGCAGCTAATAAAGATTAAAGAACTTTGTCAAGGTCATACACATAGGAAGTCGACGGACCAAAATTGTATTGTAGGAAGTCTCACTCAAAATCCCATTTTCTTTTCTTTTTTTTAATGATTTTATTTATTTTTAGAGAGGGGAGGGGTGGGAGAAAGATATGGAGAGAAACATTAATGTGTGGTTGCATTTCACATGCCCCCTGCTGGGGACCTGACTTGCAACCCAGGAGTGAACCCTAAACTGGGAATTGAACCAGTGACCCTTTGGTTTGCAGGAAAGTGCTCAGTCCACTAAGCCACACCAGCCAGGGCCAAAATCCCATTTTCTGAATCACATCTCTACACTGCACTTTGGGAGTGTTATATCTCAAAGATCAATATAATAAGAGGAATAGATTAATAATAGTAATATGATAATAGTAGCTATAATTTACTGAGATCCTACTCTGCACAAAGACATTTTTAACACTCACAAAGAAGGTAACAGCAGTAACAAAGTTTTAGAAATAAAATAAGGCACTGGAGAGATAACTGTCACATCAATGGGAAGAATCAGGTCATAGAACTGAGGTTGTTCGAGTTGAGATCCAGGAATTAATATCTGTTATAGAGCTATTTAAGTGAAAGAAGTATGGAGATTATCAAAGAAAGATATTAAGTGTCATCAGTTATTTTGGAAGGGTCATATCATAGAAGAAACTGGTTTATATCCATAGCTTAAAGCTCAATTAGGACAAGTGAGTAGGAGATAGAAAGAGATTTCTGATAAATTTAACACAGGCTAACTACATTCGAAATGAAAATGGCCACCATTTGCCTGAGTGAATTGGTGTCATTGGAAGAAATGGTGGAGGGTGAAGGAGGTCCTTGCAAACTGGAAACAAAGGTGACGATGAGCTGACATGTCACTTGGGAGTTCCCTAAACGTTGCTTTTGCCTCCTTCTCCAGCAGACACACCAGTGGCATGGAAGCAGGAAACCTCACGGAAGTATTAGAATTCCTCCTCCTGGGTCTCTCAGAGGATCCTGACCTGCAGCCCTTCCTCTTTAGAGTGTTACTGTGCATGTATCTGGTCACTATACTTGGGAACCTGCTCATCATCCTGGCCGTCAGCTCTGACTCCCACCTCCACACGCCCATGTACTTCTTCCTCTGCAACCTGTCCTTTGTCGACATGTGTTTCACCTCCACCATCGTCCCAAAGATGCTGGTGAACATCCAGACAGAGCGCAAAGCCATCTCCTACATTGGATGCCTCATTCAACTGTATTTTTCTATGATTTTTTCTGTAATGGATAGTTTCCTTTTGACCGTGATGGCCTATGACCGGTATGTGGCCATCTGCCACCCCCTGCACTACATGGTCATCATGAACCCACGCGTGTGCAGCCTGCTGGTTCTCTTGTGTTGGTTCATCACATTCTGGGTCTCCCTAGTTCATATTCTATTGATGAGGAGGCTGACCTTCTGTGTAGGAACTGAAATCCCACATTTCTTCTGTGAACTGGCTCAGATGCTCAATGTCGCCTGTTCAGACGCCCTTATCAATAACGTCTTATTATATGTGATGACTGCCCTACTGGGTGTGATTCCTGTCACTGGAATTCTCTATTCTTATGCTCAGATTTTGTCCTCTTTAATGAGAATGTCCTCTGCAGGGGGGAAATATAGAGCATTTTCCACCTGTGGGTCTCACCTCACTGTTGTCTCCTTGTTCTATGGGACAAGCCTGTGGGTCTATCTTAGTTCTGCTGTGACCCATTCTTATCTACAAAACTCAGTGGCCTCAGTGATGTACACTGTGGTCACCCCCATGCTGAACCCCTTCATCTACAGCCTGAGGAACAAGGATGTGAAGGGGGCCTTGGGAAGCCTTCTTAGCCGAGGAGCCCGTTGTCTGTGATGGGTCACTCACCTCAGAACTAAGTGGACATTGTGGGCTCCAAAGGACAATGTTATGGATTTAAATCTGGTTCTTTTCTTTCTTAAAAACACATGCTTCATTACCTCTAATTTCAAAGCACTACGATATTTTTTAAATTTCATTTCTAAGTTTTATTTTCAATTACAGTTTACATTTAAAATTATTTTGTATTATTTTCATGTGTACAGCATAGTGGTTACACCATCATATACTTTACATTGTTTCCCCCAATATTTCTAGTACCCACCCAACACCACACATAGTTATTACAATAATAGTGACTGTATTCCCCATCCTGGACTTGACATTCCTGTGACTACTTTTTCATTACCAATCTGTACTTCTAAATCCCTTCATCATTTTTGCTCAGTCCTTTAAGAGCTCTTGCCTCTGGCAAACATCAGTCTCCTCTCTATATCTATGAGTCTGTTCCTATTTTGTTTATTTTGTTTTTATATTAATTTCTCCTCAACAACCTCCTCAGTAATTCCTTTTTACCTTTCTTCTCTATTTCCACCCCATTAAGTTATACCTTTCTTGCAGCCCGTCCTGAGATTTCCAACATTGGCCTTGAAGCGCTTCCATGAAGTGCTGACATGGTTTCCCTGCAGATTTTTCTCTCCATTGTTGGTATTCTTTACCTTACCTTGGTTGTGTGTTTGTTTTTCTCAGGAAGAAATGGAATACAAATCACATCGTAGTCACAAAAAGTGCTTACCAGAGCAGGGCTGTGCTTGTTGGTTGCTTTATATCTGTGATCACCAACCGGTTTGCTGCAAGAACTTTTAAAACATGCAATATATGGCTATTTAGTCAGGGACACTGACCTCTTTTCCCTTAGGTTGCCAAAATAAATAAATAAAATAAATAAATAAATAAATAAATAAATAAATAAATAAATAAGACAACAGCCAACACAACAGCCATCTGGTATGAAAGAATCAAAGTTATACCTACTTTATTTGTCAGATTGACAAAAATTATGTTTTTTGGTGTGTTGTAGAATTTTAGTAATTAGCTTACATGTGTCATGAGATGAAGTTTGAAAATCGGGGCTTTACATGTATAATTTTGGGTGGTCATGACAACATTTCTTTGAGCTATTTTACCTCCTATACCTCATTTTTCAGAGAAAGAGAGTGAGGTTGTGTGAGACTCTAACCTGACACCGAGCCCACACTCCTAACTGAGCTATCAGACCTGTCCTGGAAACAGAGATGTGACTTTCAACTTCTGGAAGTTGAAACCTACTTCTAGAAACCTAGATGAAAAGCCAGTTTGTTAGGTGGTTTGTTTTAATATGTTGCATAGGATAAGCCTTAGACATTGCTTTAGTCTTGGCTCTTTTTCTCCCTTCCTTTCTATTTCTTCCTTTCCTCTTTGCTCTCCTTGTTTTATTGGATCTTTATTTCCCATCATTGCAGTTTAAAGATAGTCCCCCAGATCCTAAAACATGTAATAATGAATATAATAGAAAAAAAAACTTGCATTAAGTGGTTTATCATTGGGGGAAGGTATCTCTGGAGGTGTCATCAGGAATGGTAGTTACACATTGTAAAGGAATTCAGAACTTAGTTTGCTTTTTGAGCAGAATGTTGACAGAATTGAGTTTGCAGTGAGGAGTGGAGTAGTAAATTCTGTCTGGACCGCTCCCACGTTTTCTGAGATCCTTTCAGGATCTCCGTTGCATAGCAGCCTGATGGCCATGGTCAGCACCGGGTGGAACCTCCCTTTCCCAGTGCATGACGGCCGCAGTGACAGGGATCATGCCCCGCCAGGGACTGCTCCTAAGGGAGAGGTGTGGGGTATGATATGTACTTCACACCCAGCGGTGAAAATTCTGAAGTATGGATCTTGACCGCTTCCCAGGGTTTCCCTACAGGATGAAAATTCTGCTTACTCACTGTGGGAACTGACGTAAAGTAAGTTTTATTGGATGTATTTTCTTCTCTGTATCACATCTCCTCTGTCAAATCCATGTCCCATGTTCCTTGCTCCTTCCAATAAAATGCTTATACATGAATCCTTGGCTCAGTGTCTGCTTCTGGGAGTCCCAAAACCAATCCCAGTGAGAAAGATGTGAAGTGTATCGAACGATATCACAGATGGAACTAAGATTTGGGGTGAAAAAGAAAAATGAAGCAAACAAGTAGTAGGTGTGTAGTATATCTTCAAATTACTGAAAAGTCATACTCCGTGTGACTTGCAATCATTTTGATTCTATTAAGTTTCATCCACTGGGCATTCATTGTTTTCTGTATACAAATTGAAGAGAGGACCAGAGATGTAACCATGATTGCAACACAGAGTGGTAAGCAGAATAAATTTGGATGTAATAGAACTTGCTGAAATCAAAGGTAATAGTTTTCAACTCACTTTGAGTTAATTCCAGAGAAAACTTAAAAAAATTTTGTCTCACAGATTTATTGTTATAACTTACCCTGCAATTCACCCCTTGAAAGTATAAGTTCAATAATTCTATTCAATTTACAGAGTTATGCAACCATCACCACAATCTAATAATAGAACACTTTGATCATCCCAAAGAGTTTGCTCCCATTTGTGGTTAATGTCCACTCAGTGCTAGGCAACCCCTTTTCTGCCTTCTGTCTTTGTCAACTGGACTTTTCTAGATACATATCAGTGGATCATATAATATGTGATCTTTTGTATCTGGCTTTTTCCACTTGTCATAATGATCTTTGAGGGTTATCCATGTGGAAACATACATCAGTATTTTGTTCCTGATAGCTGCAGAATAGTATTCTGATACATGGTTGTGCCTCATTTTGTTTATCCATTACCAGCTGAGAGGTATTTGGACATTCCACTGTTATTATGGGGTTATTATGAATAATACTAATATGAACATTTGAATATATGTGTCTGTATGACCTGCACCTTCATTTCTTTGGTCTAGACAATTTGATGTATAATTATTGGGTCATATGGTAAATTTATGTTTAATTTTTAAGGAACTACCAAACTGAGACAAGGACACACAAAGACATAGGGAACAAGGTCATATGGAGGCACAAGCAGAGGCTGAAGTGATGCAGCCACAAGCCAAGGAGCACCAAAGCCTGCCCACACCCGCCAGAAGTTGGAAGAAAGGTGTGGGGCACATTCTCCCCCCGAGCCATCAGTGCGAGCCAACCCTGTCGGCACCCCACTTTCAAACTACTTGCCTCCTAAATTGTGAGAGAATATTCTGTGGTTAAACTAAAACAAGAAACTTACCAAATTGTTTTTGAATGTGGCTGTGCCATTTTACATGTCCACCAGCAATGAATGAAGGGGTCTGTTTTTCCACACCTCCACCAACACTTGGGATTAAGAAACAGCTTCTAATGGGAGACTACATTTGAGCCTTGAGTAACACGTAATCAGTAGGAACGGACTGGAGAATGGATTTGGGCAGGAAGCAGAGAGGACAGGAGAATAGGCAGTAGAGGAAGAAAGAACCACCTATATATAAACATGGAGATACGCAATAGTAAGACGTTTCAGGAGAATATTTGGCACTTATGCCTAAGCTACTAGAAATAAGCCCAGATATGTAGGTGGAAGACAGACTATTGAGTGTCTAACCTGACATATTAAGGGTTTTAAAAGCAACTGAACACCAGGGCCATGCCATAATCATAGGTATAATATAGAAAATTTAGGATTGGTATGAGCGTGAGAAACTGAAGGCAGAAGGGGCAGTTAGGAAGCCATTGAAGTATTCCATGGGAGAGATGATGGGAACTTGCCCAGCCAGTGGCAATAAGAGAGCGAGATTTTGCAAGAGAGATGTATCAGTTTCTTATTGCTGCTGTAACAAATGGCCATTAGCCTAGTGACTTAAAATGACACAAATTTATTACCTTACAACTTTGGAAGTGAGAAATCTAACGTATCAGCACGGCTGCTTTCCTTCTGGAGGCTCTCGAGGAGAATCTGTTTTTTTGCCTTTTCCAAATTCTAGAGATTTCCTGCATTCATTAGCTTGCGGTGCCTTCCTCCATTTTCAAACTCAACAGTATAACATCTTCCAGTCTCTCTCAAGCCCTCCTGATTTCCTCATATAAGGACCCTTGTAATTATACTGAGGCCACCCAGATAACTCAGGATAACCTCTCTGTCTGAAGATCCTTAATCACATCTGCAAAGTGCCCTTTGCCACCTGAGGTAACGTATTAACACGTTCTAGGGGTTAGTACATGGAAATCTTTGGGAAGGTCTTAGTCAACCTATGAGAAGAGATGTGTGCGATATAGAATTTGCCAACAATTGATCCATAAGTCTTGAGCTGATTTTTACTGAGTATGACCATCTCATGATACTGGCTCATATAAAGATGAGGCTGCACTAGGCAGGTGTGCTTTGGTGGCAAGTGACCGACAAGAGAATCTGCCGGTTCACGTGAACCTAGGTGAGCAGAGGCTCAGCTGTATACAGGCATCACTGAACACACAGGCTGAAACACTGGGAGGATTTCCTTTCAGACGTTCAGCTTTATATTCTTGGACTGGTTACCTGTCCTTGAGAAGAGACATGAAAAACAGCCGCTCTCACCACTCACGTCTGGTAGCTTCACTAACAGAAAGTAGATTTAAGCTCCTATGTGTTAAAATAATTGTCGAAAAAGATTCTAATTGGCATCGGCATACCTTCTTTCCATGCTGGCCAGGAGACAGTGTGACTGGCAGTCCCTTCAGAACCACGTTTATTAATTCTACTTATCAGACCTAGTTTTACTAACTCTTCACTATGTGTCAGCCATTATTTGAGGCTCAGCTACCACAGGATTCCGAGGATCAGGGGTATGGGAAAAAGCAGGCTGTTATATTAAAAATGGTGGTCTTCATCAACCTCATTGAGAAAGTTACACTTGTGAAGATGGTGTGTGTTGTAGGTGAGTGTGTATCTGGGGAAAGAGTGGCCCGGGCAGAGGGTAATGTTACTGCGAAGACCCTGAGGTGGGAGGTTTCCTGGTGGCAATGTGGCTGGAGCAGAGCCAGTGAGGGGGGTTATAGTAGCTAAGAGGGGGGAGGGGTATCAGGCGTCATCATGTGAGGTTTTCTCTGCCACCGAAGGAGTCCTGCTCTCCTTTCCTCTGAGTGGACTGGGGAGTGGCTGAAGGGGTTTGAGCAGGCACACGACAGGATCTGACTTGGGATTTCAAAAACTTATTATGGCCGCTGGACAGGGCAAGGATTGCATGGTGTGAGGCAGCCTGCTTGGAGCTGACTTACGCTATCCAGGTGTGATATAGGGAACTCCCAGGGTGGGGATGGTAGTGTAAGAGTTGAGGAGGGGTCAGTTGGGCTGTATCTTGAAGGTAGAGGCAGGAGGATTTGTTGTCACTCAGGATATTTGTGTAGCCGAAAAGAGAGAAGCCAAGAACGCCTCCAGGGTTTGGGGCGTGAAAACTGGAAGGGCGGACTTGCCTCCACTGAGACAGGAGGGATGTGAGTGGAGCAAATTTGGAAGGACAGAGAACATTAGACTGTTCCCTTTGAAATGTACAAATTGAGATATTCCAAACTGATAAATATTATAAGGTTTCACTAAGGTTCCACTTACACTATTTATTAGATAACTGAAACAGTCAAACTCATTAATAGAAAAGTTAACCTAGATTCCCAGGGAATGGGCGGAAAGGAGAATGGGGAGTCAGTGTTTGGTGGGTACAGATTTTCATTTGCAGAAGATTAAAAATATCTGGAGATGGATGGTCATGATCATTGCAGAACAGTGGAAATGTACTTGATGCCGCAGAACAGTGCACTTAAAACTAGTTTAAATGGTAAATTTTAGGTTATATATATTTTACTTCAATAAAAAATATGGAGATGTTTGACATCCCAGTGGAATCTACTGTTTGTGATACGGTCTGACCTGGAGGCAATAACTGGAGGGTCACAGACATACCGAACAGTATAGCCAGGAATCACCGAAGGAGCAAGCGTGAATATGAAGAAGGACCATGAGCCACGGAGAGGAGTCACCTGTAAAGAGCCTGCCTGGGCAGGAGGGACCAGTGATGTAGGAGGAAACTAGGAGAGCTGGTGTTCTGAAATCTAAGTGGTGAAAGTTTCTCAGTGAAGATACCAGCAATTCTTCTCAAGAAAGGGTGTGACCTCTTGTGAGGTGCACGTCCTTCTAGACAGAGCCAGAGCCGTGCACTGCAAATACCACGGCCGTCTGGCCAGCGGAGGCTTAGATTCTGTTGGAGCCCCAGGGGCCTCCACTTCTCATTTACACTTGAACTTTCCAATCTGCTGCCCACCGCCTATCCATAGGGGCAACGCTTCTTGCTGACTCTGCGCTTATCCCACCGCTGGACCAGCACTGAAGTGGATTTATCCATTTTAGCATTTTGAATGTTGGCTCTCTTTCTCTAGAGAAGTAAATATATTTTTTGGTGAAGTATTTGAGGGTAAGTTGCGTGGACCCTGGGAAAAAGATACCTATTAAGAAGGGCCCCTGTTTCCTTAACTGGGCTTAAATTAAAAAATAAACAAACAAACAAAAAAAGAGAACCTAGCAGTCATTTCTAAACAGGGTCTCTGATACAAACTGCACTCAGTGGAGAAGCCTGCATTGAAATGCCTTCCTGCGCTGTGTTCCTGCCATCTAGCCAGTCCTTATAAAGGGGTTCCTGGAATCCTGTTTCAACCAATGGGACTGAGGCTTCCCTGTCCAGTGGAGGTGTGTAGTCATACCCCCATCAACATCTTCACCAACCAATCAGGACAATACTTTACACCAATCAAACTGCTAGGATTTGGCGTTGTCATTTGCATGAGGATGGACCATTCACAGACCAGAGGCAGGGACTTCTGTCTATATAAGTCAGCTCCCCTCTGCCTCTGAGAGTCTACTTTCCCATTCCACTGAAGGCAAGGCTGCATTTCTCTGGCTGGAGCTGACATACAGAAAATATCTCACTGGAGCAGAGCAGAGCAGAGTAGAGCAGAGCAGAGCAGAGCAGCACAAAAACTGAGTGAGGCAGACCAGTGTGGAGCCAGAGCAGGTGGGTCAGAGCAGAGCAGAGCAGAGCTGCTGAGCCAAAGAGGAGTCTCACTCCAGGGCATCTTTGCAGCTGTGTTGTTGTGCTGTTTTGTAACTGAACTATATCACTATTAAGCTGTCGCACAGTTGTGTTGTATCACAATTCAGCACTGAATAAAGTTTCTTTCTTCACTGTACCCCGTATTGGGGATTGCTGTTGATGTAATTGGTGCCAACGACCATTGGCTGATCAGGATATAAGATTTGTAATGATATAGATTTAAGAAACAGAGTAAGCTTCATCCATCAGATAAGTCTATTATACCCGACAGTGACAGAATGCACAGTGTTTTCAACCATACTTCAAGGATTCATAAAACCTGGCCACATGTGAGATCCATCAGTTGAGACTGAAATCTGTTGTAACAGAATCTTCCTACAAGAGTGTTAGACCAGTTTGACGTTTATTTATTTATTTTTTCATGTTACATGCAGTCTAGAGATAAGCAACCCAGGGTGGGTGCAGCCAAATGATACTGTCTGTCCCTGTTGTGTAATCAGTAGTCTAGGAATGTCATCCTTTGGGTTTATTTTTTAAGGAAGCAGAAGAGGTAAGATAAAGGAAAAATGGTAAAGAGAAAAAGCCAGATGAGATGCTCCCATTTCTTTAAAAGCCACAAGAAGTGACCTCTCACTATTTCTTACGGGACAGGACTGTGGGCTTGTGGGTACTCATTGCTGCAAGGAAAGCTCGGAGACGAGTCCTTAACAAACTCTCCACGCTGCCAACTTGCGAACACAATTGTAATTTTGTTCCTTTAAGGAAGAAATGGCAGTGACTTAAAGTGACTTACTTTACTTTAAGTCACTGCTGTCACAGATTGCAACAGATTTTTGGGACAGCAACTTGTCATATCTGACACGTTAGGCCGCAAAGCAAATCTCCAACGATTTTCTGTCTGAATTTATGCCATTTGGAATCTATTATCATGAAGACCATATATTCAGGGCACACTGAAATTAAATTAGAAATCTATAAAAGACAACTAAAATATGCAGAATCCCAACATTAAAAAACACATTTCTAAATAACCTATAGGTCCAAGACACTTTGATGAGAAATGGACACTATTTAGTACTAAGTTACAATGAAAACATTATCTATCAAAACTTCTGTGATGTAAATCAAGGGAAATTTAGAGTGCTACATTACATTTAATACTCATCAACTGATGAGTTGCTGAACTTTAAGGATGAAACACTCACCAGTAAAGACAATCACAGAACATGTATAAGGTTGGTCCCAGTCTAAGTCTTTCAACATTGATGACCATAAGGTTTCTCTCCAGTGTGAGTTCTAAAATGAGGAGTGAGGTGTGAAAGACCACTTAAGGCTAGCTTGTAGCTGTTTCGTTCATAATGCTGTGCCCTGTATGTATTCGCTTGTGCATTATAAGGTTAGTGCTGGTGCTGAATGCTTTTTCACAATGGACACATTTATAGGGTTTTTCCCCTGTGTGAGTCCTCACATGGACCCGCAGGCAAGAGGAATTCCTAAAGGCCTTCCCACAGTCTTTACATTCATAGGTTTTCTCTCCAGTGTGCGTCCTCTTGTGCACAATGAGGTAAGAGCCTGTGCTGAAGGATTTTCCACACTGGTTACACTCATACGGCTTCTCTCCAGTGTGAGAGCGTCGATGTTTCTTAAGGGATGACTGATCAATAAAGGCTTTCCCACAGTCACTGCATTCATAGGGCTTCTCTCCAGTGTGGGTTCTCATGTGTTTTTGAAGGGATGAGGGCACGGTGAAAGCCTTGCCACACTCCTTACAGTCATAGGGCTTCTCTCCAGTGTGTGTTCTTCTGTGCACATTAAGATGAGAGCTCTGGCTGAAGAATTTTCCGCAATGATTACACTTGTAAGGTTTCTCTCCAGTGTGTGATCTCACATGTTTCTTAAGGGAAGAGCGAAAAATGAAGATTTTTCCACAGTCACTACATTCATAAGGTTTCTCTCCAGTGTGAGGTCTCACACGTTTCCGAAGGGACAAGGGGCCCATGAAAACCTTCCCCTGATCGTTATGTTCTGAGCTTTCCTCCACAGTACACAGTTTTTCATGCTCACTAAGGGAAGATCTTTCTCCGCCGTCACTGCAGTCACAGAGTTTCTCTCCAATAGGCTTTTGCACACGTACCGAAAAGGAGGACCGTAAACTGAAGGATGTAAGACACTGATCGCACTTAAAAGATTTCTCTCCTGTGAGAGTCCTCAAGTGCTCCCTAAGGGACGACTCCTGATTGAAAGCTTTGCCACAATCATTAAAGTAAAAAACTTTCTCTTCGGTGTGAGTACTAACAGGACTCTTAAGTATTAAGGGATGGCCAAAGTCCTTCCCATATTCTTTATATTTGTAGCATTTCTCTCCCTTGCAATACCTTGTGCCAATAAGGTGGCTGTTCTTTCTGAAAAATTTTCCACAGTGATCAAATTCCAAGGGTTTCTCACCGGGGTGAGTGGTTGCCTGTTGAATAAGGAATGAGAGGTGATCTAAGGCTTTTTTACTTTCATTACACTTATGAGAATTCTTTTCCATGTGAATTTTGTCATGTATCGGAAGTACATTATTATGACTGACACTTTTACCAGTTTTAGAGCATATGTACAATTTTTGCCCCATTGATTCTTTGAAGATGAAGGAGTTGATTGCTTCCCAAGGTTCTATTGTATTCATTTCTATATCAGAGGGCATCATCCTAAATATAGAGGTCTTGTAATCGTGAGGAATAAATGAATAACGTATCAAATACTTAATAACAAAAATAGCATTTAAGTAAATGTTTATTCTTTGGTATTCTCTGTGAAGTTGCTTACTGTAAGGCAGCAAGTGTTGAGGTAGGATTGCAGACTTCTCAAATTTTGTAAGATCACAGCTCTCTGGTGAGTGACTGTCACTTGCCTCAACTGTCTCCCCTTGTGTGGGTGCTGCTGCTGTTTTAATTTACTGAAATTCACAGACTTCTCCTGCTATAAAAACCCAGAAATTATCCCTAGTGAATCTTACCATTTTTATGCCATTGGAAATCTTTTCCCCGGGAACATTCTGCACAGGAATTGCATGTTTTGATTTAAGTTGAGTGGCTGAGTCTGAAACTGCAGGAGGAAACTTTTTATAACTACTGAGAGAAAAAGCAAAGATGAAAGAAACAAGAAGGCAGGCACCCTACAGATAGGTTTTCAAATAATAACATTAAGTACAGAAAGAAAAATGTGGAAGAGTAATGCCCAATGACCCGAGTAATTATTTTAGAAGGTTGTTCCTATGACAGGCACAAGCAATGGAAATGGGAGGTATTTTACTTACAATCGATTCTGGAGGCTTGAACAATAAGAGAGGGTATTATTTGGAAAGCAAAGTAGGGTGAACTGAACAAAACATATTCAAGGAAATGCAAACTTGAAAGATGAATTAAAAGTCTTTCTCTGAGACCAAATCAAAAATGAATGTATGGAGAGATGGCCAAAGGCAAGTTCACCTAACGGCCTCAGCCACCTCCTCCCACACCGACAGTCCCCAGTGTGCCACCCCTCACCAGCTGCGGTGGCTCCACACAGTGAGTCCTTTCTGCCCGGGGCTCACCTGAGCAGGCACCTTGGAGAATTCTTCTCTCATCCGTCATCGGCTCTTCCTGCTTCACCTCAGTGACCAGACGGTGTTCGCAGAGATGATACCCTGCCCATGGGGAAACACGTGTGATTGGGGGGCACTGTGAAGGAGGCAAGAAATCTTTCACAAACCTGCCTCTAACACCCTGGCCTGAGGTAGATAGGCAAGTGCAACTTTAGGAGCAGCAATAGATCAGACCAGAGATCTTTCACAGGTCCCCAAAACACACACCCACATTCCATGTCCCGCATGGGACTGACACTTGAGATCCAAGCCCAAGATCAGATATACAATGCAAATTACCTAAATCTTTTACCGACAGAAAAAATGAAATCGGTGCATCTCCACGGGAAGCCACGAGACTGCCCCACAAGGGTGGGGCCCATCCATCTCGTGTTCACCACATATTGTTATTTTTTTCAGAGATCCTGGAACACAGTTTGTGACAAACTATGTGCTGTGTGAACAAATGAAGAAATGAGGGCAACCTTACCCACGGAGGTCACGTTCCTCAAGTTCTCCATCATCACATCTCTATAGAGGATTTTCTGAGCAAGGTCTAGCAGTGCCCACTCCTCCTGGGAGAAGTCCACTGCCACTTCCTCAAAGGTCACCAAGTCCTAAAACATCACACACATTCTGGCTCAGCCAGGGACCATCTCGAGCCCTGAAGCAGGAGAATGGTGGGTGAGGCTGCCGGCACTGGGGAAGGAGACTCGGGGCGCAGGACGCTCAGCCATGCTTGGAGGCCTCTGGCTGTGGCCCCGAGGCCCCGTTCTTGGGACTCTCCCCTTTCACTCTCACTCCCCGGACCATCTCGTTCAGGCTCACGGTTGGAGCAGCTTTCCTAATACACAGCTGACCTGACCTTTCCACACCTGGGTCTGAGCACCGTTCCAGTCTTAATTCAACACCCAGTACAGATTGAGTGTACAATGGGATGAGAAAGCATATTTGGAAAATGAAAAAATGATTTTTCCTAGTGAAAAATCTCTTCCCTTCATAGCACTCTGAAGAAGACGGCACTAATACTCAACCTGGAGGACTGTCTGGAAAAAAACTTAACAAACGTTATAGTAATAGAAGGCTTTCCTAAAGCATTCTCTCTCCCATTCTAGGACACCCAGAGAACTGGTGAAGCCTGAGGTTAGCCCAGTAGGGCTGTGAAGCTGTGGGTCTAGGGCAAGAGATGTGTCCTTTGGGAGGAACAATGCCTTTTTTGGAAAGAGAATGATTTCCAACATACCTGTGACCAAGTTTTCAGCAATCCTGCATCCATTCTTCCCCCTCTGTGTCTCCCTGCTGCCCAGGCAGAGTTCTGAGCAAGCAGAGCTAAAAAAAAAAAAGGGAGCCATAAAAGTCTCATCTTGACAGGTGTTCAACACCCACAGGCCTGCAAGCTCCCTAATACAGTTTCAGCATAACCGCATACGCTTGCACATCCACGTGCAAACAACAGTTCACTCAACGTTTTATCTCCCTATCCAAGAACAATAAAAAATTGGGAATAGAAGCTGTATGCACTTCTTCTTCTTCTTATTTTTAAACTTTTTCCTAAATTGAACCACAGGAAATGCCTAGAGTCGGTAACAACTCAAGAGCAGTGAACCCTTGAAGTTTTCTAGTGCCAAAATGCTTCTAAATGCCATCTGCCTGGGAAAGGAACTGGGACTCATTTGGGAAATAGCTGAGTCCCATGTAGAACAGGAAACAGTCAAGATGATCTTGGAACATCTTACACCAGAAAGCAAGGCGCTTTGATGGGATTGTGTCAAAAAGACACAGGAGATGACTTAAAATGGCTCCCTCTGGCTTTGGATGGAACAGTTTAATAAAGAATAATGCCTGCAGTCAATTGAAATATATCAAATGTAAAACAAAATCATGAGTTCGTAATGACACTAAACACACACACACACAAACCTCAATGATTACTACTGAAGGTGGCCAGGACAGCAAGTCATTATCCTGAAAATTCGTAAAAGGAAAAGAATCAAGCATGTTTCGCTCCTCCTTTAAAAGAGTATTTTATCATTAGCAAAAATTGTGATATGGAAAAGTTTCCCTTTATAGAAGAACCATAGAAGCTTTATTAGCAGCTTCATTTATTGTGAAGAAAATGCTAGAATTAGAAAGTCATCATTCTGCAACCACTAATGAATAAATGGGTCTTGGAGACAATAATCGATGGTTACTAAAATATTAGGTGAAAAGTGAATAGGGATGTTTATTTCCAACTTTTAAAAATTTTTTATTGATTGATTTTTTGGGGGGAGAAACATCTATGTGTTGTTCCACTTATTTATGCATTCATTGGTTGATTCTTGTATGGGCCCTGACAGGAGATTGAACCTGCAACCTTGGCGTATAGGGATGACACTCTAATCAACTGAGCTACCCTGGCCAGGGCTATTTTCAACTTTTGAATTTGAAAAAATTTCAAACTCAAAAAAAAGTTGTAAGAATTGGGAGAATATAATCAATTTCCACATATTCTTCACATAGACTGTTCACCAACTGTTAAAGTTCTGTTGCTTCATTTTTCTTTCTTCTCTTTATAGGGGATATTGAGGGGACTCCACTTGAGAGGAAACTGCAGATGTCATGACCCTCTTCTACTACATCCTTGAGAATATCATAGGAACTTGAGCATTCTCTCACATGACCACAAGAATGGAGATCAGGAACACTTAACCATGAGTTTAATATTATCATCCACGATTCAGCGCATATGCAGAATTTCATGAACTGGCCCAATAATGTAACTTTATAGCAATCACTTTTTAAATTTCCCATTTAGCGGATGTTCTCAAACTATGTTTCTTTAGTCTTTAATTTGAGCCAGGCCCTCAGCCTTTATTCATCTTTGAAGATTTGAAAGTACAGGCCAAATTATTTTACAGACTGTACCTTAGTTTCAGCTTAGCTGATGTTTTCTTGGATTAGATTTGGTGAGTACATTTTTGGGTGAAGTTTTAGATAACTGATGTGTGTCCTCCTCAGCGCATCACTTCAGTAGGCATTGATGATGGCTTGTCTCATTATTGTTGAACTTTGATCATTTGTTTAAAGTGGTATGTAACAGGACTTTTTTTTGTTGTTACACTTTTTTTAATTTTTATTTTTTTATTTGTAACAGGATTTTTCATTAAGTTGCCCTTTTTTTCCTTTTGTAATTAAGAAGGAATCCTATTAGTGAGGAGATAATTTAAGCCTCTATAAATAAGCTGAAGAACTTTATAAATGATCAAGCTGACACCAGAATCAGCTGATAATACCTTAACATCAGAAAAGAGGCATCTGGATATCATATGAGTTCTGACATGATGCGATGAGAAACACACCAGCTATTTTTTAAAAATCTGACAAATCCTTTAATCTAACTAACTGCTTAGAGAGGAATGGGAAGAGGAGGGACTTGGACATGTTAGATGACACATACGGATACAATTAGCCAGCCCAATTTGGGGTAGAAAGAGGATGGGAGAACTGTTACTAAGACACATAACTATCCACTGCAGCGTGTGTACCCTCAATCTTGAGTCCAACAACACCAACTGTAGGAACACATTTTGAGACATTTGGAGTGAACTTAATACAGACAGGGTATTATGTGATATTGGTAAAGAGAAAAGCAGCCCCTGACATCCAATTATGTCTGGGTGTTCTGTTCAATATAAACAATTTTACAACAGTGACAGCAGATATGGCCCCTGTGTGACAATGAAATATTAAGGAAAAAACAAGGCCACTCTGTAATAGTGTCTGAATACGGGCAAAACATAAACATCCAGGCCTCAAAAAGGACCAAACACCTGCCCTCCTTTTCTGGGTAATATAAATGACTGCTGCTTGTTTATCAACACCACCTTTAATCTCAGTCTAGTTTTCTTCCCTTCTAGGTAAACTTTACTGAGATACCCAATCATACAATTACCCTTCCTTCCTGACATCCAACCCAGAACCCTCCCCCAAAACAACCTAACACAGGCCCAAATCCTTTCCTTCTTTCCTCACATGCACTTACTGAGATGCCCCACAATTCACCACGGTATATATTCTGCCTGTTGCAATGAGTAATAAACCCAACTTGTTTAACTATAAGTGTGTCCCTGGTGGTCTTTGGCTAAAGGACACTGACAATATCAAGAAACATTGTTAATTTGGATTACAAATTACAGTGTGTGATTACAGTACTGTGATAATGCTAGAAACTTCCGTTAAAAGTTTATTTTTATTAAAGGGTTGTCTCCTGTGTCTTTTACTCTCTAACAGTTCTCCTTCCTCTTTCAGCACCAAACTGAGTTACGCTGGTTGTATCCTTGTGATATCCTCTTCTTTAGAGGTACAACTCAAATTATGAATGAAGTGATATGATGTCAGATACTTGTTTTCACATGCTCCAGGAAAATACAACTCAATTACAGTAGTCGGCAAGGGAAAGAGCAGATGTATTGGGAATGACAAGATACTGGTCATCACTGAAGCTGGATGTTAAGTACAGAGAGGTTTTGTCATAGTGCCCTCTACTCCTGAGTATGTTTGAAAATCCATAATTGTAAGTTTTAATGAAAGAAAACCTTCCATACAGAAGAAGAGGGCAATGAAATGTACTGTCTAGGCCTTGACATTAGATATAGCAGAAAAAGAAAATCTTAGGTTTCAATCCAAATTCACATTATTCATGTAGTCCAAAAAATCTCAAGAGAATAATTTCATTTACAGAGGTTTGTAGGTGGCATTGCCCTCAGGCAATTAGTATGAACAAATGGACCCATCTCTGGAAGATTTAACTTCAAACCAGGCCTCAAAGAATTCCCATATATAAAGTTTTAAGTAACTTAGGAGTTTACAGTTAATAAAGCTATTCAAAACAAATACACAATGTACATGAATAAGAAGCAGCTGAAACACAGGCAGCAGGAAAAAGAAAAAACACTTCAGATACTAGACTTTCTAGACATGTAATATAAGAAACTATACTTAACATGCTTAAAGAAACTAAGAATAACTTGGATGAATATAGAATAAGACATGATAAAAATGGTCAGGCGATTTTGAAAAACAAGCAAGATCGTTAGAAATAAAAAATATACTTGTTAAAGTTAGAAACTCAACGTAAGGATTAACCACCAGAATAGAATTTGTTAGCACCATTTGATAGGAAACTAGGTAAGATTTCCTAGAATTAGTAAAGGACACTAACCTTTGGATCCAAAGCTGAATGAAGAAAAAAAAATCCACACCTAGATTCATTATAGTTTTTTCTTCCTTGGTGTTTAATTTTTTCCCCCACAATTTTAAAAGCAGCCAGGGAATAATTACGAGTCACCTAAAAATGAAAAGCAGGTTGGTGGCTCACTTCTCAAGAGCAACAACGATGTCAGAAGAAAGCAGAACAACACCCTCAGTGTGCTGAGAAAAAAATAACCATCAACCCCAAGTTCTAAATCCAGTTCAGGTTTACAAGTGAACTTATGAAATGAAACCTGAATCTAATCAAGCTTCTAGACTAACTATTATTAGTAGGAAATACAGAGATTAACGAGTTAAACAATACAAAGCAGCAGCAATCAGCCCAATCCAAAATGTAGAGCATTTTAAGGACAATGTCTTGATATCTCCAATAAGTAAATGGATTTTTAAAAAAAAGGACATAAAACAGAAACCCAAGAGAGATATATTGAAAAAAAAATGTGGGGACCCTGTTAGGATCCTGATTTGAATAAACCAAGTGTAAAAAGATATAAAAAATATTCTGAAGACAAGTAGCCCCTAAAAACTCACTGCTCAGATACCTTAAAGAAAAAACAAAACAAAATGTAAGAAAAATCTGAATTGTTTAAATTTCCCTAGAGAAAACACCTGGCTCAAAAGTTTTAAAAGTCAGTTCTGCTATTCAAAAAGAAAATTCCAATCTGATTCAAAATATTCCAGGGAAGATTTTGTCCCAGTATGCCAACCTCCAGTCAGGGGTGGGACAACAAATTGATGTTTCTCTCCCTCTTCCTCTCCCTCTCCCTAAAATCTATTTAAAAAGATGAAGGTATTTGGAAGGTTTTATTTAATTTAGGCTTCATGCAAAACATGAGAATGTGCATGATCCAAAACTTTGTGTTTGCCTTTTGGGTATTCTATTATACTACCATGACAGAAGCAAACAAACCAGTTTGACTTATCAAAGAGATTACCTTGATTAAGACTATATAGGGGATGGAAAGTTTTTTGAGACTGGTATAATACTGATATCAAACAAAACACAGGCATTATAAGAAAACAAAATG